TTGTGCACGGAATGTGGAGCCGGTCAACCAGCAGCTTTCAGACAGGGAAGGGCCGAAGGGCCCAGGCCACACAGAGGGCCAGGGCCAGCACCCAGGCACTGGCCGCCACCACCTGTTTTCCCCCAGCAGCCCCGGGCTCTCCTTGGGTGGCTCTGCTCTGTGACTGCGGGCTGGCTCTTGGACGTCGGTTCCCTGCTGTTCTGGGAGGCTTGGGGCCTAGCTGAACTCGGGGCCTTCCTGCCTGGCAGCCCCTGACACCGGATGGCCAGACACACTCCCACAAACTCCACCCGGCCTCTTGTTGGCCACCGGAAGGGCTGGCTGGAGCTGCAGGATGTGCACACCCCTGTTGAGGGCTTGCCCACTGCCCCTCTGGGAGCCTTCCTGGAATCCAGGAAATGAAGGCACTCTCAGGCAGGACACCCAGTCAGATCTACCTCGCTACAGGGCTCCAGGCCCTGTTCCTGGCCCTGCCAGGGAAGCCAGACCCAGCTGCCCAAGAGCAGACCCTGCCTGCAGAAGCGCTCCCAGGGGAGACAGCCAGGATCTCACTGGGAACAGACCCCCCAGGTTCTTTCCAAGCCTGCTCTTCCTTTGCCTCCCTGCAGCCTCCTCATCCCCCTCAGCCCACCCCGGCCGAGAGCAGCCACCGCCCAGCTTGCCCTGCCATGGTTGCCTGCTCAGGCCACAGTCCCCTGGATCAGAGTGGTCTACTGGTCTCTGCTACTTTTAGAATCAAACCTAAAATCTTAAAGAACTTGACCCAGAGAGAGCTGGCTCTGCAGACCAGTGGGGGAACTGGTAGACTATTCCGTATACAGGGTTTGGACAACTCTCAAGAGAGAAAGCTGGTTTATTTCACATCGTTCGGAGAGATCCACTCCAGAGGGATTAAATAACTTCCAATATAGAAAATATTCGAGTGTGGGCCCTCCCAAGGCGGGGCGTTCATCCCCAAAGTGGGGTGACTCTCCAGGGTCATCACTGCGAACACTCGATTGCATAAAAGCCCCGCTGGCTCTGGGCACAGCCAGGAAGGTGCATCCCCCCAGACAAACAAGCTGTATTATCTCCAGCACGTGGGACAGGGAGGTTATGTTCTCCAGATGTTAGGGAGCTGCCTCCCACTGCCCAGTCCTGCCCAGGCTGATCGCCTGCTGAATGCTTTATGTATGTGCCAAATGGCAGCGCTTGCACCCTGGGGCTGGATGGAACAGCAAGGAGGCCTCGGGACTGGGCGGGGGCCCTGCTAACACCATGGGAGGACCTGTGAGGACCAGCCCTGGGGAACTGCGCCTGGCCTCAGGCACTCCCCTCCTGGCCTGGGACAGAACTGTACAGCCTACTCCAGTTCAGTGCCAAGTGGAGCCACTCCTGCAGGGCAGTGGGCTGGGTGGGGATGCCACATGTGAGCCGCAGTCCTGGCAGGGGCCTGGTTAACCTTGCCTTACACACGCAAGGTGGTCCCTGGACACCACCAAGACCAAGCAGCTCCAGCCTGGTCCCAGGGAGCTTGTCTGCAGAGAGCAGCAGGCAGCGCAGCGCAGGCGCGCTTCAGAAGCTGCCCTGATGGGACACTGCGCTTGTCCAGGCGACGCAGACAGACCTGACACAGCCCCTGCCGCTGCTCTGCGACCCAGTTCCCTGAGCCTGGCTTCTCTCAGCTGTGGACAGGGGTAAGAATAAGGGCATCTGCCTCAAGGGTGGCTGTGAGTGTGAGATGGCGCAGCCCAGGTGCCCGGGAATAGTCAGCACTTGGGAAGGTGCCCTGGGTGTGCCCCAAGCACACAGTGCACACAGGGTGGAGATGAGGGGCTCCCACAGGTCTGGAAGGTTTCCGGGGTCTGCACTGGATGACCTGGGCTGACACGTGGGCAAGAGCACCCTGGTCTGCAGGGCACAGGATGTACAGAAACTCCAAGGCCAGGGGGATGGCGAGAGGGTGTCCCACTAGAGGGCCTGGAGAGCCGCTGCGGTCTGGGAGGGGCTGCGTGCCAGGCTTTCCTCCTGGGAGTCTCCCGGCCTCCTGCTGTCTGTCATGTCTGGGAGCCTCCTGGCCTCCGGCTGTCTGTCATGTCTGGGAGCCTCCTGGCCTCCTGCTGTCTGTCATGTCTGGGAGCCTCCTGGCCTCCGGCTGTCTGTCATGTCTGGGAGCCTCCTGGCCTCCTGCTGTCTGTCATGTCTGGGAGCCTCCTGGCCTCCTGCTGTCTGTCATGACTGGGAGTTTCCTGGCCTCCGGCTGTCTGTCATGTCTGGGAGCCTCCTGGCCTCTGGCTGTCTGTCATGTCTGGGAGCCTCCTGGCCTCCGGCTGTCTGTCATGTCTGGGAGCCTCCTGGCCTCCGGCTGTCTGTCATGACTGGGAGTTTCCTGGCCTCCGGCTGTCTGTCATGTCTGGGAGCCTCCTGGCCTCTGGCTGTCTGTCATGACCTCTGGCTCCCAGAAGGCCTGGGCTTGTTCATTTCCACTCAAGATTCCCAAGTCAAGGGTAATGGCACATGCCTGTAGTCCCAGCTGCTCTGGGGGCTGAGTCAGGAGGATCACTTGAGCCCAGGAGTTTGAGTCCTGAGGAACATCTCAAAATAATAATAATAATAATAATAATAAATTAAATTAGAAGACGATTCGCCCAGCATTTTGGGAGGCTAAGGTGGGCAGATCACTTGAGGTCAGGAGTTTGTGACCAGCCTGGCCAACATGGTGAAACCCCATATCTACCAAAAATGCAAAAATTAGCCAGGTGTATTGGTGTATGCCAGCAACTCCAGAGGTTGAGGCAGGTGGATCACCTGAGGTCAGGAGTTTGAGACCAGCCTGCCAACATGGGGGAACTCCATCTCTACTAAAATACAAAAATTAGCCAGGCGTGGCGGTGCACATCTGTAATCCCTGCTACTCCTGAGGTTGACATAGGAGAATCGCTTGAAGCCAGGAGGTGAAGGTTGCGGTGAACTGAGATCATGCCACTGCATTCCAGCCTGGGTGACAGAGCAGGACTCCATCTCAAAAATAAAGCAAAATAAAATTAAAATTAAAAAAGATTCTCGGCCGGGCGCGGTGGCTCAAGCCTGTAATCCCAGCACTTTGGGAGGCCGAGACGGGCGGATCACGAGGTCAGGAGATCGAGACCATCCTGGCTAACACGGTGAAACCCCGTCTCTACTAAAAATACAAAAAACTAGCCGGGCGAGGTGGCGGGCGCCTGTAGTCCCAGCTACTCGGGAGGCTGAGGCCGGAGAATGGCGTGAACCCAGGAGGCGGAGCTTGCAGTGAGCTGAGATCCGGCCATTGCACTCCAACCTGGGCGGCAGAGCGAGACTTCGCCTCAAAAAAAAAAAAAAAAAGATTCTCAAGATGCCCCCAAAGGACTTAGCAAGTGCCCAGGAATGAGGGCTCTGTAAAGGTCCGTTTGAGAATCTATCTTGTCTCAAGATTCTCCTCACTCTCCTTCTCAGCAATGCACGAGCTTGGTCCTTGAAGTTGTTGTTGTTGTTGTTGTTGTTTTTCTGTTTGTTTTTGAGACAGGGTCTTGCTCTGTTGCCCAGGCTGGAGGGCAGTGGCACCATCATGGCTCACTGCATCCTCGACCTACCAGGCTCAAGTGATTCTCCCACCTCAGCCTCTTGAGTAGCTGGGAGCACAGGTGAGCACCACCATACCTGGCTAATTTTTGTATTTTTGTAGAGACAGGGACTTGTTATGTTGCCCAGGCTGGTCTCAAACTCCTGGGCTCAAACGATCCTCCTGCCTCAAAAGTACTGGGATTACCACCCAGCCTCCCAGAGTACTGGGATTACAGGCACGAGCCACCACGCCCAGCTGGGTTTCTTTACAGAAGAGGGAAGTAAGGCTTAGGGAGGAAAGAGCTTGCCCAGAGTCCCACAGCTGGTCCAAAGCCAGTCCCAAAGCCCATTGTTCTCCCACAGGGCAGCCCTGGTTCTGCCATAATTGCTGTGTGCCCCTGGGTTAATCATTTTCCCTCTCTGGGCCTCCATTTCCCCATCTACAAAATGATAATATCTGAGGCCCCTTCTGGCTTGGATGGCTCCACAGTGGACTTTCCTGCCTGGTGGCCATGGCGGTTCCTGAGGAGTCGGCCCTGGCCTCACAGGGAGGCCAGTTACCAGCCTCGTGCTACGAGACCCAGCATATCAACCCCAAGCCAGACGCCCTTCATCCGGGCCCTCACCCACCAAATGCTGCAAACTCTGCCAGACGCCCTTCATCCGGGCCCTCACCCACCAAATGCTGCAAACTCTGCCAGACGCCCTTCATCCGGGCCCTCACCCACCAAATGCTGCAAACTCTGCCAGACGCCCTTCATCCGGGCCCTCACCCACCAAATGCTGCAAGCTCTGCCAGACGCCCTTCATCCGGGCCCTCACCCACCTAATGCTGCAAGCTCTGCCAGGCGCCCTTCATCCGGGCCCTCACCCACCAAATGCTGCAAACTCTGCCAGGCGCCCTTCATCCGGGCCCTCACCCACCAAATGCTGCTCTGCCAGGCGCCCTTCATCCGGGCCCTCACCCACCAAATGCTGCAAGCTCTGCCAGGCGCCCTTCATCCGGGCCCTCACCCACCAAATGCTGCAAAGTCTTCATGTCACCGTCCCTTCTCCAGGCTCTGGTTAGAGAACCAGCATTCAGAAAAGCTGACCCAGGACTCGCAGGAAGTGCGGTGGGGGCACCCTGGCCACTACTCCCCTATCCTTTCAGTAGAGTCTGCCCCAGCCTGAAGAGGTTTTATCAGGGGACCTAGGGGGGACCAAAGAAGGGGATGGTCTTGGCTCCGTCCACGGCCACTAAGGATCACCCCGTCTCATACCACATCCCAAATTCCTTTGACCCAAAGTTCCCCCATGCCTGCTCCCTGCCAGCTGTCAGGGATCCCAGGGGAGGTCTCCCTCCGGTGGTCCCTCCAGCAAACTCCTGCATGCTCAGGAGTGTCGTTGTCCTCCCTCAGCCAAGGTCAGGGCTGGTGGTGCTGACCTTGAAGGCGGTCATGGCCACAGCCGTCTCTGCTGGCCTGTTCCAGTGGGCCAGCACCCTGCCCTTGCCTGCAGCCCCGAGGTTCCTGCATGTGGGTGCCCACCTGTGAGAGAGCAAAGGGCAGACCAAGGGCATGGCTGAGACTGGAGGTGGGAGACTCTGATGGCAGCCACCACAGGGGACCACAACGGTAGGGTAGAGCCCACTGTGGGAGCTCCCAGCCACTCCCATTCTCCAGGAATGTCCCTGACATGGAGTGGCCCAAGTCTGGACCGGGTCATCCTGTCCCACGGGCTTCAGCTGACTGGTCCCCCAGTAGACCCTGACTCTAGCTGAGGGTCAGACTCTCCTCCTGAAGCCTGACGGGTCGGGGAGGAGGCCCCAGTTTGTGGGGAGGGTGTGAGAAAGGGCCGTAACTGCATTGGTGGAACAATGAATATGTTAATAGTCCACATACAAACATTTCCTTCAACCTGAAAGTCCATTTTCTCCCGATTTTAGAATAAATAAAATCATTTCCATGAGCTCCCTGAAAATATCACGAGCCCCAGCACTGAGCTGGCTGTGCCTCAGGGAGACATTGACCTGCCTAGAGGTGGCCCCCGTTTCAAGGCTGCAGACTGGAAAGGTGAGCTCCCCTTTCACCTGGAGATACCCCACCTCCTTCCGGGAGAGTCTTGTTTTTTCCTGAGTTGCCCCGAACTGGTGTCTGAATGCTGGTGGCCGAAAGAACTGATGGCTGCCGTCCCCCCATGGCTGTGAGCTGTGAACCCAGCCGGGCCGTATCAGTTGTCACTGCCGCAGCGGGAACCCATTTCACAGGTGAAGGCACTGAGATTGCCCCCAAGTGAGAGAGACGCGAACCCCGGTTCTGTGGATCCACAGCCAAGGGACCCAGAGATAAAGTTCAGAATATTGTTCTTTTTAAAGAACACCAGGCCAGGCATGGTGTTGCACGCCCAAAGTCCCAGCTACTCGGGAGGCTGAAGCGGGAGAATCACTTGCGCCCAGGATTCCTGTTTAAGGCTGTGGTGCTCTGATGGTGCCTGTGAACAGCTCCTGCACTCCGGTGTGGGTAACACAGACAGACCCTCTCTCTAGTGAAAACAGACAAACAAACCAAAAGGCGAAGCAGTCTCCTCCTGATTTCTCCGGCCCACTCCTTCCTTCCTCTTGAGTTCCTCGGGGTCTGGCGGGACGCCACGTGACAGAATGCATCTGGGGGTGGGGAGTGTGGGGCGCAGGACAGACAGACATGTGGGCAGCGGCTGCTGCAGACTCCTCAGGGGCCCGCCCTTGGCAGGGGTAAGCAGAGGCATCCCCAAGCCGCCCTGCAGCAGGAGGACCCTCTCTGGGGAGGCGTGTAGGAGCCCCCCATTTCATGGTTCTGTCCAGAAAGCAGGATCAGGCTTGTGTGAGAAGCCAGCCCCATAGAGCCCCTCAGCCTTTACCTAGAACCGGAAAAGAAGCAGGAAGTGTGGATATAAGAATAGACGCTCCAGCCAGGCTGAGCAGGACCGGGGGCGGCAGTGCCACGCCTTCCATCTGCCTGGAGGCTTGAGGGTGGGCTTCCGCAGGCCTAACCCCAGCCTGGCTGCCCCCTGAACCTCCCTCCCCTTTGCTCTCTGGGTACCCCTGGGCCACCAAGGCGTCTGGGCTGGACACCGTGGAGGGGGCACTGGGATTCTCTGGGGAGAGGCGGACCAGCCAGGCCCCGACTGACGGAGCTGAAACTGGCACAGTGAGGTGGAGTGGGGGCTGGGGGACCCGGGCCGCACCCTCTCACCACAGGCCAGGCATCTCCTCCGCCTGGGAGCCAGCAGATGGGACCTTGAGGAGCCTGAAGCCAAGGCCCAGGAGACTTCCCAGCCAGGAGGGTGTGAGCACACCGTCCGCACCTGAACCTCCACCTGTGGTGACAGGTACTGCCAGGGCTGTGAGACAAAAGTTCAGAGCTCCTGAGCTCGGTCTCCCGCCCCATCCAGCTGGAGGGTGGATGGTGCCTTCTCACCTCTGCCCCCTCATCTACCCAGACAGGCTGTGCCCTCCTCAGCTGCCTCTGACCTCTAACCTTTCCCTGCCAGGTAGGTGAGACCAAAGGTCTCAAAGGGGTTCATGAATGCCTTCCAGGCCTGGCACCTGCTGTGCGTCTGCCCTGGCTGGTGCCCTCACTCCTCTCACCCTCTGGTGGGGCCTCTGGCTCTCCTCCCTCTCCCCTCAGCTCAGGCTGAGCCTGGCCGACCCAAAGGGCCCTGGGCTCAGAGTTAGGAGACTGGCCGTGCATTCTGGCCGCCCTGCTGACTAGGCCATCAAGTCCCCTCCAGAGCCTCCATGAGAGAACGGGGACGGGGGGACCTGTTGGGCAAACTGTAAAGGGCCACACCCCTGCAGGAAGAAGGTCTCTAGGAGGCAGCAGCAGAAACTCCCCAAGCTCCTGCAGGATGGCCCCTGGTGATGTTTGTCTCCGTTTTTCTTTTTGAGACTGGGTCTTCCTCTGTCACCCAGGCTGGAGTACAGTGCTGTGATTTGCAACCTTGACCTCCTGGGCTCAAGTGATCCTCCCACCTCGGCCTCCTGAGTAGCTGGGACCACAGGCGTGTGCTATCATGCCCGGCTAATTTTTATATTTTTTGGTCTCACTATGTTGCCCAGGCTGGTCTCAAACTCCTGGACTCAAGTGATCCTCCTGCCTCAGCCTCCCAAAGTGTTGGATTACTGGCGTAAACCACCTTGCACGTTTGCCTCCTGACCTCAGGTCCCCATGGAGTCGGTCATCTTCTGGGCCTCGCTCAGCTGGTACTGAAGGTGAGTCATGCTTGATAATGACCTGAGGAGCAGAAGGCACAGGTGAGTCACCTGAGGGGAAGTGGGTCATGACCAGAGCTGTCGCTACCAGGCCAGAGCACAAGAGTGACATCACAGCCAGTGGTGTCCTGGCAGGGACAGGAAGCACCTGCCACGCTTCCCAGCGGCCGTCCCTCTGTCCACCTTCTGTTCCCCAGAGCCTATGCTGGGCCTCACGGCTGAGAGACACAGGGGCTGAAGTCCAAGTTCAGGTCCATGGGAATTGCAGGCACAGAGCAGGAGGCAGGGCCATGTCTGGAGCCTCCCTCACCAAAGGCCTCAACTGTAAACCACCTTCCAGTGAGTTACATGTGGAGTTCTCAAGTGAAAGGCTGCACTGTGAAATGTAAACTTCCAGGCATATCACGGTGTTTGATTTGGCAAGCTCTCCCCTTCTTCTTCTTTTCTTTTTTTTTGAGACGGAGTTTCGCTCTTGTTGCCCAGGCTGGAGTGCAATGGCGTGATCTCGGCTCACCGCAGCCCGCAGCCTCCACCTCCCAGGTTCAAGCAATTCTCCTGCCTCAGCCTCCCGAGTAGCTGGGATTACAGGCATGCACCACCACGCCTGGCTAATTTCGTATTTTTAGTAGAGACTGGGTTTCTCCATGTTGAGGCTGGTCTCGAACTCCTGACCTCAGGTGATCTGCCCGCCTCGGCCTCCCAAAGTGCTGGGATTACAGGCGTGAGCCACTGCGTCCGGCTTTTTTTTTTTTTTTTTTTTTTTTTCCTCACCTGGTCGTCGCTCTGTTGCCTGGGCTGGCGCTCGGTGGCGCAATCTCAGCTCACTGCAAGCTCCGCCTCCTGGGTCCACACCATTCTCCTGCCTCAGCCTCCCCAGTAGCTGGGACTACAGGCGCCCACCACCGCGCCTGGCTAATTTTTTGTATTTTCAGTAGAGACGGAGTCTCACCGTATTAGCCAGGATGGTCTTGCTATCCTGACGGCATTCTCTGCCTGCCTCGGCCTCCCAAAGTGCTGGGATTACAGGCGTGAGTCACTGCGCCCGGCTTCTTTTTTTTTTTTTAAACCAAAATCCTCATACAATGCAAATAGCTGTGGCCTCTAAGGCTCTTGGGAAAGCCTCTTAGAGGGTCCAAGCTCCCATGGCTGGGACGAGGGTGCAGGGTGCAGCCAGCCAGCTCCCCAGATGGCACTGTGGTGAGTCAGGCGGCAGCCTTGCAGAGGGCTGGTGGGCCCTTAGAGGCGGTGGCCCTCAATGCTCTGCCCCAGGAGAACATGACTCACCTCGCCCCCTGCCCAGCTCTGCAAGCTCCTGTGTACACTGGGGAAATAGGCCGCCAGTGCACACGTTGGTCTGGGACTGAGGGATCACGCATGTGGCTCAGTGGGGTGCTGCCCGAGGAGCCGATCCACTCACGCTGCCTGGACACCAAGGGCAGGGTGGAAGCAGGGTCTCTTTTTCCTTCCTGGCGGAGGGAGCCGTCACACAGCCTCAGTGGGGGACCTGGGGCAAAGGGCTGAGATGGGAAGAATGGGGGCCCGTACAGCCCCTGAGCAGGGCGGGGCAGGACGCTGCACTGCAGTGGAAGCCGAGGAATGCGTGGACTTCCTCAGGGTTGGAGGCTCAGCCGCGGGTGGAACGCCAGTGCCTGTGGTCGGGGTGGTCAGGCCTGGACACGGAGACACTGATCTCACCGGGAGTTCCCCAAGCCCCGCCCACATCACCATCTTATCATCTGTCCGCCCCAGCTGGACCGGGGGCTATTACATTATTGTTTGTAAAGCGTCCTGTTGTTATTTTCTGATTACCGAGGCGGTACATGTTCACTTAAGCACCGCGTGGGTGGTGGTATTTGCTCCAGTTGGTGGATGGGGCGGTGACTTGCCCAGTTGCAATTAATCAGCGTCAGCAGCAGTGACAGCAAAAAGGATTTAGTCAATGTCCCTCAGACACAGCGCTGGCAAGGCCATTGGCAGAGACTCAGTGAGCCCCAGTCCCTTCCGACCTAAAGGTGACCAAAAATTCGGGTACTTTCTAGACAACTGGGTGGGGCAGCCAGGCCCCACCCCAGGCCAGCCTTGTTTCTTCAGCCATCTCCTGCTGTGGGTCTGGGGATGGGGTTGGAGGCGTGGACCCCAGAGCTGCTCTGACAGCCTGGAGTCTCCCCAGCGATCGAGGAGGCCACTGGGAGCACAGGGCCCCTCTCTCTCATGGGATGGCCCCTGAAAACCCATTCTGGGTGGGCTGGGCGCAAGGCTTCTCTGGGGAGCCCAGAGCTCAGGCAGGAGGCCTGCAGAGTGCCTGCGCTGTGACTGTTTTCCTGGCCCTGATTTTAGGGCTGACCCCCTCCCCTCAACACACACCCCACCATCTCAAATTGTAGTATCCAGAGGAGCATGGTCACCTCAGTTCATTCTCAGGCAGTCTCACCATGGCCTGCTGATGTGGACATTACAACCCCATTTGACAGATGAGGAAACCGAGGCTTGGGGTGGAGATGAAGTTCGCTGACTCAGTCACACATTGTTAAGTGGCCGAATCTGACTTGAACCTGGTGTTGTGTGATGCCAGACAGCCCATCTGTACTGCCACACGGGCAACAGGTCTAGGCAACAAAGTGTCAGCAGCTGGGAAGTGGGAGGTGCGGAGGGTCTGCAGCCCGACCCTGGGCGGGGGCTCCTGTTCTCACACTGCTTTGGGGTGGGTGGCACAGTGGGGTGCAAGGAGCTGGGACTCTGGCTTCAGATGGTCTGCGGGTCTGAATGCGGGCTCTGCTGAACGCTAGCTGTGCGCCCATGGCCAGGTCACTTCCCCTCTCGGAGCCTCATTTCCTCATCCTGGAAAGTGGGGAGGATGACCTTGTCTACCTCCCAAGCTGCTGTGAGATTAACTGAGCTGAGTGTGCTGGTCTGTGAATGCTGGCCGTGATCCTGGGGCAGGTGGAGTAGGGTTAGCAGTGTCCACCTTGGGGCAAGGCCCACCCGGCCTGGCTCCCAGAGGCCATACTTCCTGGTCAGGGTCCTGAGAAGGCTATGCCCTGGCCTGCTTGGAGCTCAGCACAGAGCCTGGCACGCAGCAACACCACCCTGTGTGGCACTGGGGGCTCCTGCCTTTCTTGCCCTCTGGTTCTCACACCCACTGAGGCTGCCTGCAAGCCCTGCCTTCCCACGGGTGCATCGGGGGAGCCTCAGGTGCCCAGTGTCCAGTGTTCTCCAGCATCTGGCAGGTAGGCTGAGCCCGTGAATGCCGGATCCTGTGACTCTGGCCTCTACACTTGCTTTTCACGGCCAGGCCTCAGCCAGGACCTATTTCCCAGCCTCAGGCTCTGGCCTGGGCACTGGTTCCCTCCCACCTGCCAAGGGTGTCTCTGGTCCTAGGTTTCCCCTGCCCATTGCTGGTGTCATTCTGGCCTGCCCAGGCAGCCTCCTCCTCTGCCCTGTAACCGGGCTCCACGCCCTCCCCAGCCTCAGCTCCTGCCACAGCTCTGCTCTCCAGGCCCTAACCCTGTGCACCAGGCGCTGCTGTCTGCAGACAGCAATTCTTCCCGGGTGCTCCGGAGCCCCGCAGACCCTGGCGGCAGGTGAGGCCTCCTGGGAGGTTGCCCTGGAACTTGTTTTTCCTGGTGCCCTCCTGGAGACTGCATTCCACCAGGCCTGACACACACCTACGTTCCTGCCAGGCCTTGAGGGGGATCCTCTGGCCAAGGTGACCAGAGCTGGGAACTGCGCCTGTGGCTGGAGGCTGCACCCTAGGGCCAGGCCCAGAGCAGGGGCTTCTGGGAGCGTTTGCTGAAGGTGCCCACGGGGATGGGTGATTGTGGGCACACTTGGCTGGCTTAGGGACACCGGAGCGTTTGGGACCAGAGGCAGGCTTGGGGTAAGTCATTGGAAAGGGGCTGGACGCTGGTCTGGGGAGGACCAACGGCAGAACCCCGAGGATGCTGCCATCAGCCCAGGCTCTGAGAGGGCAGCGGGGGTCTGGAGTTCTGATCTGAAGCCCCAGGAACACCCTGCTGCGGGGGGGTCAGGTGTTTGAAAAATTCTCTAAGTTATTTGTTTTCTGGCATTTCTTCATGGTTGGGATATCAGGTTCTAGGGCCTCTTTTTGGTTTGACTCTGTATTTCATTGTGCGGCTAATTAATTGTGGTCTGACACACTTTCTCTTTTGAAGAAAATATTCACCGGTGTTTGGCGCGAGGAACACTATTGCAGGATCCTCCGGCATCTCCAAACATTGAGGCAACACTGCTGAAGTGGCCCCCAGTGCCCAGGGCTGGGGGTGAAGTTCCCCTAGTCCAGCCCTCACTGCAGCTTCCTGCTGGGCTGCACGCCTCTCCAGGCCAGGGCCTCCCTTGGAGTCATCTCTGACCCAGGGTGCAGCTTGAGGCCAGCATGGAGGAGGCAGCAGCACATGCTTGTTGAATGAACAAATGACCTGGAGTGGAGGTGCTGGGGAGACAGGAGTGAGGGCCAAAGGCACGGCCCTCATCAGGCTCTGAGCATGTGATTCTCCCACACCCTTGCAAGAAGGACGCTATTTTAAACTTCATTTATTTAAAATCGCACAGTAATTCCTGAACACTCTCAAAAAAATTAAAGCATTACCAATAAAATTCAAGTCTATCTTGATCAAGACCCTTTGGTCTTGCCCCTCCTGGTTTGTTTGCCATCTGCATATTTGCCAGACTTTTCCCCATGTGGTGCTGACATACATGAATTCGTGGTTTTCTGAGGCCCGTGGATGGCTTGAGCCCCAGAGTTCAAGACCAGCTTGAGCAACATGGCAGAATCCCATTTCTACAAAAAAAAAAAAAAAAAAAATGGTGGCGTGTGCCTGTGGTCCCAGCTACTTGGGAAGCTGAGGCAGGAGGATCACTTGAGCCCAGGAGGCTGAGGCTGCAGTGAGCCATGATCGCACCACTGTACTCCAGCCTGGGTGACAGAGTGAAACCCTGTCTCAAAACAAACCCACCAAAATTTGTGGTTTTATGTTTTTTTCTTTCTTTTTTTTTTTTGAGAGGGAGTCTCGCTCTTGTTGCCCAGGCTAGAGTGCAGTGGTGCGATATTGGCTCCCCGAAACCTCCACCTCCTGGGTTCAAGTGATTCTCCTGCCTCAGCCAGAGTAGCTGGGATTACAGGCATGTGCTACCACATCCAGCTAATTTTGTATTTTTAGTAGAGACAGGATTTCTCCATGTTGGTCAGGCTGGTCTTGAACTCCTGATCTCAGATGATCCGCCTGCCTTGGCCTCCCAAAGCGCTGGGATTACAGGCATGAGCCACTGCACTCAGTTTTTTCTTTTTTTTTAGATGAAGTTTCACTGTTGCCCAGGCTGGAGTACAGTGGCATGATCTTGGCTCACTGCAACCTTCAACCCATCCAGGTTCAAGCAATTCTCCTGTTTCAGCCTTCCGAGTAGCTGGAATTACAGGTGTGTGCTGCCACACCTGGCTATTTTTTTTTTTTTTTTTCTGTATTTTAGTAGAGACGGGGTTTCTCCATGGTGGCCAGGCTGGTCTCGAACTCCTGACCTCAGGTGATGCACCTGCCTCGGCCTCCTAAAGTGCTGGGATTACAGGTGTGAGCCAGCACACTCGGCCAGAATCTGTCGTCTTGTGAGTGCGTGTGCCTGTGTGTTCGTGCCTGCGTGTGCGTGTTGTAAATCAAGTGCGTGTGTGCATGTGTGTGCACGTATGTTGTAAATTAAGTGGCATTGCTCTTTGTCTGTCATCACGTAAGCTGGCTTTCCCATTGGCTACTGGCCCCTGGAGCCCTTGCTTTGCTGTGTCAGTATGTAAAGATCTACTTTATGACCCGTGATAGCTGCGGAGGGACCCCAGATCACAGTGGGTGTCCACCACAGGAACGAGCCCATTTTGTGGAAGAGGAAGTCGAGTCCCAGAAGTTGCGTGACTTGTCAAAGGTTGCCACCCACGGTGAGGGCCAGGGTCTGGGAGGGCTGAGGGGGCAGGCATGATGAGCCAGTTTGGGGCAGGAGGCAAGGCGTGGCAGGCCCGGGGGCAAAAGCCATAGTCTGTGTGGAGGGAGTGGGGGGATCACGGCCTTTGGGAAGGCTGTGGATTCTGCCTGCAGTTAGGGTGTGACACTGAGTGCTCCAGGGACTCGGAGTAATCACCCAGGCACTGGCCAGCCCCATGCTCCCTCCTCCAGGCACCTGGCTCCCCACCTCCTCGGCCGGCCAAGGCTGGGTAGGTGTGCAGGGCTGGAGGTGACCAGGCTAGCCCTGCTCTCGAGGACAGGCGGAAGCCCCTTCACGCCCAGTGGACCAGGGGTGGGGCCAGGCCTCGCTCCCCACATCTCCCACGGGAGATCATGAGTCCTCACCGCCACACCAGTGTGAGGCTTGGTGTCCACCCTCTAAGACTTAGGTCAGGACCAGGCACACGCGGGGAAGGCCAGGTCACTGGGCGGGCCGAGGATGCAAGCTGCCATGCTTTCCACGAAGGCCCTCTGGCCAGGGTGCTAATTAGGGCACCCGGAAGTGGCCTCTAGCCTCCCCAAGCGCAGTTTCCTTCTGACTCAGTGCTGGCCTGCCTGTCGGCCAGAAATCACCCAAGGGCCCCACATGGAGGGCACCTGCCAGGTCGTGGGCCTTGCCCCATTCTCCCTAAATGCGCCTGCCTCAGCTGACCCACCTCCAGTCCGAGACATGCGTCTCACGGATGCCAGGGAGCCCCCAGGGTGAGGGCGGAGAGGCACTCAGGGTGAGCTGAGGGTGTGTCCCTGGTGCCAAGCCTGGCACAGCGTCCTTGGCCTGGTTTCCCCAGGGCTGGGCTCCACCTGGCCACCTTATTCCCGTCCCACTAGGAGGCCACCAGTGCTCGGTGGTTCAGTGGCACTGCGGCAGACAGGCTCTGCCTCGGTGTTGCTCGGGATGCTTGCAGAAAGGGTCCGTGCTAGGGAAGAGGGGTCCTACTCCACAGAGCCGTGGTCATGGTCGGAAGGCCTGCACACCCCAGGCCCCCTGCTCTGGCCATGTGACTTGGACAGGCTACCTGTGGTCCTGTGGGTTTCTTTCTTTTTTTTTTTTTTGAGACAGAGTCTGGCTCTGTTGCCCAGGCTGGAGTGCAGTGGTGCGATCTCGGCTCACTGCAACTTCCGCCTCTTGGGTTTAAGTGATTCTCCTGCCCCAGCCTCCCGAGTAGCTGGGATTACAGGCGTGCACCACCACACCTGACTAATTTTTGTATTTTTAGTAGAGACAGGGTTTCACCATGTTGGCAAGGCTGGTCTTGAATTCCTGACCTTAGGTGGTCCGCCTGCCTCAGCCTCCCAAAGTGCTGGGATTACAGGCATGAGCCACTGCACCCGGCCGTTCTGTGGGTTCCTTAAGCGACAAAATAGACAGTGTAAGACCAGCCTGACGCGGCTGTTACTTGGACCGGGCAGAACCCTGTGATCACAGGGAATGAGGTCAACTGCAGGCTCCTGCACTGGGGTGCCGTGGCACCGTCTTCTGTCTGAGCCGGCATTGCCTCCCACATGGCCCCAGCCCCATCACATCCTATGGGGTTCATTCCTGGCCTTCCCAACCTGGCTACATAGCTGGATTCTTCTTCTGCACTTCCTTCCCCTCCCCTCCCCTCTCCTCTTCTCTTGTTTTTTTGAGACAGAGTCTTGCCCTGTGGCCCAGGCTGGAGCGCAATGGCACGATCTCACCTCAATAGAACCTCTGCCTCCCGGGTTCAGTGATTCTCCTGCCTCAGCCTCTGGAGTAGCTGGAATTACAGGTGCCAGCCACCACGCCCAGGTAATTTCCTTTTTTTTTTTTTTTTTTTTTTTTGAGACGGAGTCTCGCTCTGTCGCCCAGGCTGGAGTGCAGTGGCGCGATCTCGGCTCACTGTAAGCTCTGCCTCCCGGGTTTACACCATTCTCCTGCCTCAGCCTCCCGACTAGCTGGGACTACAGGTGTCCGCCACCTCGCCCGGCTAGTTTTTTTATTTTTTAGTAGAGATGGGGTTTCATCGTGTTAGCCAGGATGGTCTTGATCTCCTGACCTTGTGATCCGCCCATCTCGGCCTCCCAAAGTGCTGGGATTATAGGCTTGAGCCACTGCACCCGGCTGGAGCATTTTATTTTTTTATTTTTTTATTTTTTTTGAGACGGAGTCTTGCTGTGTTGCCCAGGCTGGAGTGCAGTGGCATGATCTCGGCTCACTGCAAGCTCCGCCTCCCGGGTTCACGCCATTCTCCCGCCTCAGCCTCCGAGTAGCTGGGACTACAGGCGCCCGCCACCACGCCCGGCTAGTTTTTTGTATTTTTAGTAGAGACGGAGTTTCACCATGTTAGCCAGGATGGTCTCGATCTCCTGACCTCGTGATCCACCCGCCTCGGCCTCCCAAAGTGCTGGGATTACAGGCTTGAGCCACTGCGCCCAGCCGGAGCATTTTATTTTTAAGTGACGTGGTCTCATTCTGTCACCCAGGCTGGAGTGCAGTTGTGCGGTCATGGCTCACTGTAGGCTTGACCCCTTGGGCTCAAGTGCTCCTCCCACCTCAGCCTCCTGACTATCTGGGATTACTGGCATGCACCATCCTAGGAATTTAATTTAATCATCCAGCACTGGCCAGCTCCAGGCTCCCTCCTCCAGGCACTTGGCTCCCCATCTCCTTGGCTGGTCTGGGCTGGGTGGATTTGCAGGGCTAGACCCAGAAGGCTGTATTTTAGCAAAGCTCTCTGCCAGACTTGAAGGTGCAGGCCAGGGTAAGTGCTTAGAGAGCTGTAGCACCCCTTGCAGGAGGATCTGTGAGGCGTGGTGAGACCCCAGAGGAGATGGGGGTACCTGTACTGCCATGGCCCCACACTGAGGGATGAGTATTGCCTTCATGCCAGACGAGGAGAGAAAGGACAAAGTAGAGCTGGGCAATGTGGAGACGGATCCCGCCTTCCTTCCCGCCATATGAAGACAGATCCTGCCTTTTGTTCCCGCCATGCAGAAATAGATCCCGCCTTACTTCCCCGCAGTGTGGAGACGGATCTCTCCTTCCTCCGTCATGTGGAAATGGATCCCACCTTCCTTCCCACCACGTGGAAATAGATCCCGCCTTCCTTCCCATCACCTGCAGACAGATCCCACCTTCCTTCCTGTCATGTGGAGACAGATCCCACCTTCCTTCCCATCATGTGGAAATAGATCCCACCTTCCTTCCCCGTTGTGTGGAGACGGATCCCACCTTCCTTCCCACCACATGGAAATAGGTCCCGCCTTCCTTCCCACACCGCCTGGAGACAGATCCCACCTTCCTTCACACCACGTGGAGACAGATCCTGCCTTCCTTCCCTGTCATGTGGAGATGGAGCTCTCCTTCCTTCCCTGTCACGTGGAGACAGATCCCGCCTCCCTTCCCCCTCACGTGAAAATAGATCCCGCCTCCCTTCCCTGTCACGTGGAAATAGATCCCGCCTTCCTTCCCCGTCACGTGGAGACAGATCCCGCCTCCCTTCCCCGTCAGGTGAAAATAGATCCCGCCTCCCTTCCCTGTCACGTGGAAATAGATCCTGCCTTCCTTCCCCTTCATGTGGAGACAGATCCCGCCTCCCTTCCCCGTTGTGTGGAGACAGATCCCGCCTCCCTTCCCTGTCACGTGAAAATAGATCCCGCCTTCCTTCCCTGTCATGTGGGCCTGTCAGGGGACTGGGAGGGACAGGTAGATGCCTTCTGGTCTCCTGCCAGCCCACTCAATCCCTCACTCTGCGGAGAGCAAGGATAAACTGTGGGATAAACTCACCCCCACGGTGGCTAACTGGTAGCTGCAAGGCTTCA